GCACAAAAGGGCGTTCCCACTGATGAGCACTCGCGATCGTGATGTGCATCGCGGTTTATGTGATGTGCATTGCGGGCTTCGGGGTGCTTTGGAGGAGGACGACGATGATAAAGAGGAGGAGGAGTAGGAGGAGGGGGAGGATGCTTCCTGAGGATGCGTCCTCTTCATGCCAAACAAAGTGCACTTTCCCGCGTGAGAGGTTTCAGGGGGGGGATGGGAACGGTTGGTTCCAGCGGATGGGTGCGGAAACGGCGGGTTCCGACGCGTGGTTGCTGGTGTTGCTGACGACGATCCTGATGATGATGATGATGATGATGATGATGATGATCATGATGATGATGATGATGATGATGATGATGCTGATGATGATGATGATGATGATGATGATGATGCGGCTGCTACTGAAGATGATACTGATGATGCTGCTGATGATTATGATGCTGGTTATGACGGTGAAGATGCTGATCATGGTGGTGGGGATGATGATGATGTTTGTGATGAGGATTATGGTGATGATGACGATGTTGATCATGCTGATGATGACGATGATGTTGATGATGCTGATGATGCTGATGATGCAGCTGTTGATGATGCTGATGATGCAGGCGAGGACGTTGAGTATGACTATGGTGAGGGTGCTGAAAATGATGACGATGATGCTGATGTTGGTAACGCCAAGGTGTCTACGATGATGCTGCTGCTGCTGCTGATGATGATGATGATGATGATGATGCTGTTGCTGATGCTGATGCTGATCATGATGATGCAGATGATGCTGCTGATGCTGATGATGCTGATGATGCTGATGATGATGACGGTCGTGGTGGTGATGATGATGATGCTGATGATGATGTCAGTGATGTTGATGGTGATGGTGTTGGTGATGGTGTTGGTTTTGATGATGATGCTGGTGATGATGCTGCTGCCGATGATCATGCTGCTGGTGACGAAGGTGACGAACACGATGATGCTGATGCTGATAGTGGTACGTATGCTGCTGATGATGATGATGCTGATCATGATGATGACGATGATGATGCTGATGATGAGGATGATGATCCTTTTTTGATGATGGCGATGCTGATGCTGATGAGGATCGTGATGAATAGACTTACGACGATGGATGCGGTACAGATGAGGAGTTGGTGTACAATTATGTGAACACTGGCGAGGCTAGTCAAAGATGACGGAGATCGGGGACGGACCGGGGGGAGGAGGTGGAGGAGGAGGGGTAGAGGAGGAGGAGGGGGGGGGAGGAGGAGCATGAGGTGAAGCAATTGTTGAGAGGGGAGAAGATGGATACTGAGATACTGATTGTGATGATGATGCTGATGATGCTGATGATGATTAGGTTGATGCTGATGTTGATGATGACGATGCTTATGATGCTGATGATGATGCTGGTGTTGATGCTGATGCTGATAACGAGGATGCGGATGCTGTCGATGAGGAGGAGGATGGTGATGATGCCGATGCTGACGATGATGCTGATGACGATTACGAGTATGCCTCATGATGATGGTACTGTTTGGTGGTTGTGGGGACGATGATGCTGACGATGCTGCTGATGATGGTAATGATGACGATGCTGATGATGCTGATGATGATGGTGATGCTGATGCTGATGCTGATAATGAGGATGCTGCTGCTGATGCTGATGAGGATGAGGAGGATGATGATGACGATGCTGATGGTGATGATGACGATCATGTTCATGGTTCGTAATGATGATGGTTCTGTTTGGTGGTGATGGGGACGATGATGATGACGATGCTGATCATGATGATGATTACGATGCTGATGATGATCATGATGATTATGGTGATGCTGATGATGCAGGTGCTGGTGCTGATGGTGATGATGAGGTTAAAGATGATGATGCTGATGATGACGATGATTGTGATGCTGATGATGCTAAGGGTGATGATGATGATGACACTACTGATGCAGACGGTGTTGATTACCAGGACGGCGATGCTGATGCTCGTGATGACGATGATGATGATGCTGATGATGATGGTGATTCTGATGATGATGATGATGATGATGGTGATGATGATGATCATGGTGATGCTGATGCTCACGATGATGATTTTGCTGATGATGATGATGACGATGATGATGATGATGATGATGATGATGAGGATGATGATGGTGGTGGTGATGATGATGATGATGATAATGGTGGTGATGATGCTGCTGCTGCGAATGATTATGCTTATCATTATTCTTATTAGTATCAGTCTCAACCATATCGTTCTGCTTCTTATCCGCATGGGGCTTCGCCCCATGCCGCCGGCCGCCGGGCTTCGCCCCCTGCCAGGTCTGGGCGCCGCCGTGAAGCAGTGTTGGGACCTGATTGTTTTTCGACCCTGACCCTACGGATCTGCGTGAGGGGTGCCACCGAATTTGAGAAATGTGGCACATCCCGTCTGTTTTTGGACCATGACCCTACGGATCTGCGTGAGGGGTGCCGCCGAATTTCAGAGATGTGGCAAACCCTATTTGTTTTTGCACCCTGACCCCGCCGATCTGTGAGAGGGGTGCCACCGAATTTCAAAAATGTGGCAAATCCAATGGGTTTTCGGACCCTGACCCCGCGAGGGATGCCATCGAATTTCAGACATGTGGCAAATCCCATGTGTTTTTTTGACCCTGACCCCGCCGATCTGAGTGAGGGGTGCCACCGAATTTCAGAAATGTTGCACATTCCTTTTGTTTTTGCACACTGACCCCGCCGATCTGCGTGAGGGGGGTCAGCAAATTTCAGAAATGTTGCAAATCCCTTTTGTTTTTGCACCCTGACCCCCCCGATCTGCGTGAGGGGTGCAACCGAATATTAGAAATGTGGCAAATCCCGTATGTTTTCTGTCCCTGACCCCGCCGATCTGTGTGCGGGGTGCCATCGAATTTCAGGCATGTGGCAAATCCCATTTGTTTTTGGATCCTGACCCCGCCGATCTGCGTGAGGGGTGCCACCGAATTTCAGACATGTGGCAAATCCCGTGTGTTTTTGGACCCGGACCCCGCCGATCTGCATGAGGGGTGTCAAGTTTTACCCACCCCAGCAATTCAGAGCACATGCTCAGGGCGTGCTAAACCTGCCCGTTTGGGCCTCCCCCCCCTCGCGAGGTCCATCAACAAGTAACAGTAAGCAGCAAGCAGCAGAACTGTAACAGTGGAATCTGGAAGCTGCAACTGGTACAGGAAACTGCGAAGCTTCGGCCTACAGCCTGCTGGCCCCACAAGGGGGCTGGCGGATTGTTCTGATGTTGACGATGATGATGCTTATGATGATCTGGCGATGCCGATGATGCTAAGGATGATTATGCTGATTCTGATGATGATGCTGCAGATGATTGCGATGATGGATAATTATGAGTATGGTGATGATGATGGTGATGGTGATGGTGACAATGATGCTGATGATGTTGATGATGATGCTTCTGATCGTGGTGGTGATGATGACGACGATAAGGATGATGCTGATGATGATAGTGATGCTGCTGCTGATGATGATGACGATGTTGCTGATGATGACGATGATCATGAGCATGGTGATGCTTATGATGATGCTCATGATGATGGTGATAACGATGGTTCTGACGATTATCATGTGATGGTGATGAGGAGCATGGTGTTGATGATGATGTAATGATGCTAATGATGATGCTGGTGATGATGCTGATGATGATGCTGGTGATGATGATGCTGATGATGATGCTGATGATGCTGATGCTGATGCTGCTGATGAGGTTGCTGCTGCGGATGATGATGATCGTGCTGATGACGATGCAGCTGATGATGATGCTGCTGCAGTTGACGATGCTGCTGATGATGCTGGTGATGCCGATGCTGATGCTGATGATATGCTGCTGACGATGATGATGATGACGATGCTGATGACGATCATGCTGCTGCTGCTGATGATGAGGATGCTGATGTCGATGATGCTGATCAGGATGGTAATAATACTGACGATCCAGCTGATGATCGTGATGGTGCTGATGATGACGATGGTGATGCTTCTGATGCAGATGATGCTGGTGATGATAATGTTGCTGATGGTGATGCTGATGCTGATGGTGGTGATGATGATGACGACGATGCTGTTGTTGATGATGATGGTCATGGTGGTGATACTGATGATAACGATGATGCTGATGCTGGTGATGATGCTGATGATCATAATGCGTATGCTCATGATGCTGCTGCTGATGTTGCTGATGCTGATGCTGCTGCTTATGATGATGATGCCGACGATGATAATGATGATGCTGCTGATTATGCTGATCATGATGATGATGATGATGCTGATGAGCATCATGATGATTGTGCTGCTGCTGCTGCTGCCTCGTCGAAGCCGAGACCAGACGGCGCCGGGTCCGAGTTTCAGTGATGCAGACATTTGCGGGCCCTCGAAGCTATCTTCTCAGTCATTGTAGGGGCTTCCTTTATGAAACGGTCGCCCTTCTTAAGAAGGCCTTCGGCAAACGCACCACGGCTGGTGCAACTCAGTATTTTACCATCATTCGCGCGACCATGGGCCCAACACGGCAGCCTCAAGCAGCTGGTGTCCCATCTGCCGCCACGGCCGATCTGGATGGCGGTCGGGAGGAGACGGCGAGGTCGACGGAGGACTGTTTGACCGAGGACGGGGGAGGAGGAGGAGGGGTAGAAGTACGATGGGGAGGCGGAGGAGGAGGAGGAGGAGGAGGAGGAGGAAGAGGAGATGGAGGAGGAGGAAGAGGAGGAGGAGGAGGAGGGAGGGAGAGGAGGAGGAGGAGGAGGAGGAGCAGGAGGATGCGTCGGCGGCGGCGGAAGAAGGATGAACGAGGGCGAGGATGAGGAGGAGGAGGAGGACGAGGAGGAGGAGGAGGACGAGGAGGTGGAGGAGGAGGATCGAGGAACGAGGAGCTAGAACGAGGGGCGGGAAACGAGGAAGCCGAATGGGGCAGGAGGGGCCAGGAACGGGCACGAGGGACGAGAAGGCCGCCCGCAGCAGCAGATCGGCAGCGCCGCAGCCGGTCCACGCCCGCGGCCCGCGGCCGATGGCGGCGGCCTCGGGTCCGCCCTCGGCCTCCAGGGCGGTCGTGCTCTGCGTCGGCACGGGCAACATCGGAGCCCGCGCTGGGCGCGCGGTGGTGGTGGTGGTGGTGGTGGTGGTGGTGGTGGTGGTGGTGGTGCTGGTGGTGGTGGTGGTGGTGGTGGTGGTGGTGGTGTGGTGGTGGTGGTGCTGGAAGTGGTGGTGCTGGTGGTGGTGCAGGAGGAGGAGGGATATGATGTTGATATGGACAAGGAGGAGGTATAATGAGAAGAAGATATGGAGACGGAGGAGGAAAATGAAGATATGGAGGAGGAGGTGGAGTAGAAGGAGGAGCCGGAGGAGGAGTGGAGGAGGAGGAAGAGGAGGAGGAGGAGGAGGCGGAGCAGGAGGAGGAGCAGGAGTAGGAGGAGGGTGAGGATGAGGTGGAGGAGGAGAAGGTGGAGGACGAGAAGGAAGAGGAAGAGGAGGAGGAAAAGGAGGATGATGATGAGCAGGGCGACGACAACAACGAGGACGACGACGAGGGGGTCGACGAGGACTCCGAGGGGTCGACAGCGAGGATGATGTGGACGACGGCGAAGGCGGCGGCGGTGGCGACGACGACGACGACGTCAACCACAGTCAACGAGGAGCCGCGCTGGTGGCGCAGCTGCGCGCTCGCGGGGACGTGGAGGTGCTGGAGTTCGGGCGAAGAGAACTATGCACATGCTCCGGTCCCGGCCAGGCCCGACCTGGGCCCAGGATCGCTGCATGTGGCTCCCTGGCCGAGCCAGGAGGGCGTATTCATCGACCCAGGCCCCGCAGGATGGGCCTGGCCGGGGCCGGTGCGTGTGCACAGTGTTTGTTCCCCTGGAGGTGCTGGAGTGCAGCCGGAGCTCCGCCGCCCTGGTGCTGGACGGCCTTCGGGGGGGCCACCCTCGGCCACCCGGCGGCCGCTCGGCGGCCCTCGGCGGCCCTCGGAGGCTCTCGGCGAGGAGGTCGGCTGCGGCGAGCGCGGCGAAGTCGACGGCCAGGAGCAGCGAAGCAGGACGAGGAGGAGGAGGGAGAGGAGGGGAAGGAGGGGAAGGAGGAGGGGGGGAGGACGGAGGAGGAGGAGGAGAATGAGCAGGAGTAGGAGGAGGAAGATGAGGAGGAGGAGGAGGAGGAGGGGGAGGAGGAGGAGGAGAGTGGAGACGAAGAGAAGTGGGAGGAGGGGGAGCGAAGGGGCAAGATGCTACCGCGTCTCAACTGAGAAGCGAGACGCGCAGGCAGCATGCTGAAGGTCGAGGAGGACGACGAGGGCGACGAGGAGGATTGGTAATGATGGCAACAAAGACGACGATGCTGATGATGATGCTGATGATGATGATGATGGTGGTGGTGATGATGATGCTGCTGATGATGCTGATGAGGATGATGATGCTGCTGATGATGCTGATGAGGATGATGATGCTGATGCTGATGCTTATGATGCTGATGATGATGATCATTACGATGCTGCTGATGCTGATGATGGTGATAAGGATGCTGTTGATGATGATCATGATGCTGCTGAACATGATTATGATGATGATTATTGTGATGGTAACGACGATGATGACGATGCTGACGATGATGATGATGATGATGATGATGATGATGGTTGTGATGATGATGATGGTGGTGGTGATGTTTGTGATGATGGTGTTGATGGTGATGTTGTGCATGCTGATGCTGCTGATGCTGATGATGATACTGATGCTGATGCTGATGATGCTGATGACGCTGATGCTGACGGTGAAGATGGATGTGGTAGTGATGACGCTGATGCTGCTGATGATACGGCTGCTGATGCTGTTGATCATGATGCTGATACTGATGATGGTGATGATGATGCTGATGTTGATGTTTATCATGATGATTCTGATGCTGATGCTGATGATGATGATGGTGGTGTTGGTGATGATGATGCCGATGATGATGCTGATGATGATGAACATGATGCTGATGATGCTGGTGATGATGATGGGGATGGTCATGCTGATGATGTTGATGACGAGGATGATGCTTGTGATGGTGATGATGGTGGTGATGATGCAGATGATGATGCTGATGATGCTGCTGCTGATGTTGCTGCTGTTGATGATGACGAGGATGATGCTGATGCTGATGATTATACTGATGATGATGGTGATGATGATGGTGGTGATGGTGGTGATGTTGATGATGAGTGATGGTGATGATGTTGTGTTGTTGATGATGCTGCTGATGAGGTTGTTCATGATGATGATGCTGCTAATGATGATGATGATGATGATGATGATGATGATGATGATGATGATGCTGATGATGATGATGCTGATGATGATGATGATGATGATGCTGATGCGGATGCGGATGTTGATGATGATGATGACGATGATGATGATGATGATGATGATCATGATGATGATGATGATGATGATGATGATGATGATGATGCTGCTGCTGATGATGATGATGATGATGGTGGTGGTGCTGATGCTGCTGATGCTGATGATGCTGTTTTTGCTGATGATGCTGATGATGAGGTTGATGATGATGCTGATGATGATGATGATGATGATGATGCTGACGCTGCTGCTGCTGCTGATGATCATGATGATGATGATGATGATGATGATGATGAAGATGATGATGATGATGATGATGATGATGATGATGATGATGATGATGATGATGATGATGATGATGATGATGATGACGATGACGATGACGTTGACGACGAGGTGGAGGAGGATGAGGAGGAGGAGGAGGAGGAGGAGGAGGAGGGGGATCAGGATAAGGTTGAGCTGTGGAAGGGGGAGGAGTCAGTGGAATATCTAATGGCCTTCGGTTCATCCCGCCAGCGTGCCCGGGTAGCGGGTCAGACTTCTCAGGGATGCCCCTTGATGTCTCTCCGGAGCGCTCTCGGGGGCCTCCTGGCCGCCACGAGGGGGTCCCTCCCCGCCTCGCTCCTCCCTACTGCCTCCCTCCCGCCCCTGGGAAGAGGACCTGGAGTCCCCCGCCTCGCTGGCAGCCCTGCGGGAGAGGCTGCCGCACGGCGTGGACCACGTGGCGGTCACCGCCGGGGCGTCCACGTTCGGGCCGCTGGAGACGTCGCCGCCGCCGCCTCCTCGAGTGCTCGCCGCTGCCGTCGTGCTCGTCGTCAAAAGCGTGAAGTCGGGCCTGTCCCTCTACAGGAGAAATATTCAAAAACAGTCAAACATAGTAGGAGGACTGTTTTTCGCCCATAGTCTGCCTGCAGGGGGACACGCTCGACCGAACAAGAGCGGCGCGCGCCCTCTCGGACGTTGTCGTCGGCTCCTGGGTGTTCTCCTGCCTCCGCATGCTGCCACGCCTCGCCGAGAGTCTTCCGGGGGTGCCCGAGTCGTCCCGGATGTCCGGGAGAGGCCCAGGTCATGGCCAGAAAGCCATCGCCGACGTCGTCGTCAGACGAGGGACAGAACAAGGGGGTAGAGGAGGAGCGGGAGGAAGGAGAGGAGGGGGAGGGGCAAAGGGAGGAGGAGGATGATGAGGAGAAGGAGGAGGAGGAGGAGGAGGAGGACGAGGAGAAGGAGGAGGAGGAGGAGGAAAACGAGAATGAGGAGAAGGAGGAGTAGGAGGAGCAGGATGAGGAGGATGAGAAGCAGGAGGAGGAGGAGGAGGAGGAGGAGGAGGAGGGGAGGAGAATGCGGAGGAGGAAGGCCGAGGAGATGGAGGAGGAGGAGTTCGAGGAGGAGGAGGAGGATGAGGAAAGGAGGAGGAGACGATGGACGATTCAGCGGACTCAGTGGTTCGCCACAATGTGGCCACTCGTCAGGGCCCCACACCTGGTGACATTACCTCCTCCTGCTCAGGGACTGCAGCGAGGAGCATGTCTCAGGCAACGAGAAACGAGAAGGAGGAGGAGGAGGAAGAGGAGGAAGAGAAGGGGGAGAGTTGGAGAAAGGGGAAGCGGTGATGAGCCAGTGCCTGTCCACCCCTCCCCCGCCTGGCTGGTGAATGGGGCCCACGGTCCGAGAAACTCGTTTGGTGCGCTGGAGGATCCGTTGGCGAGCGGAAACCGCACACCGCGTCTCAGCAGGAGGATACGAAAGTAGCGCAGAGTGAGATACTTACATGAGCTTGGTCCCTCTCTCTCTCTAGCGCTGCGTCCGCCAGACTCGCTCTCGCGGCTCCATTGTCCCCCCCCTTCGCTCTCGGGGCCTGTCGATGCAGGGAGCTACGGATCGACGTCTGCGGGCGCTTCTCATTAGCACATCCTCATTCGCCCTCCTGTCCCTCCTCTCAGCAGCAGCGGATGACAAGGAACGTGAGGAGGGGGTGACGACAACGAGGGACGGGAGGGGAAGCGCAGGAGGAGGAGGAGGCGGAGGATGGGGAGATGGAGGAGGATGATGAGGAGCAGGAGGAGGAGAAGGAGGAGGAGGAGGAGGAGGAGGAGGAGAGGAGGAGAGAAAAAGTAGGAGTAGGAGGACGAATCATGGCATGTGAGGGAGGAGCAGAAGCAGGAGGAGGAGGAGGACCAGTGTAAATCCAAGAGTCATCAACGATGTTGGAGTTAGCCCTCCCTCCAAGCTCCCTCTTCATAGGCCCATACAACGGCTCGTGTCCATTGATGCTACTGCCGAGTTAGAAGACACCCGTTTGAAGACCCTGAGGCATGCCAACACATTGTTCTCGGGATTTCAATGCCACGGATCAACCGGACTGTTGCGTCTTGACGATCCGGAATCGTGCCAGAACGCCATTCCTAGGATTTAAACACAGAGAATCAACGTAACTGTTGCACCCGCATAATCTCGAACCCTTCCAAAACACAACTTCCGGTACGTTGATGATGATGGGAAGCCATGAAACTGTCTTGCAACTGTTTAAAAGAGTGTTCGCCGCGTTGAGGCGAAAACCACCTTTTGAACAGGAGCCGCCCTCAATCCGTGAAACTCTTGCAACAGTTGAAAGTTAATGCTCGCCGCGCTAAGGCGAGAGCCACATTTTGAAAACCACTCGCCCTCAATCCGTGCAATTCTTGCAAAGTTTGGAAAATGAACGTGCGCCGCGCTAGGGCGAGAGCCACATGTTGAAAACCACCCGCCCTCCATCCTTGAAGCTCTTGCACATCTTGAGGCCAAATGTGTGCCGCGCTGAGGCGAGAGCCACATTAAACAACAAGGACGCGTCCTCAATGCGCAAATCCCTTGCACATTTGGAAAACGAACGTGCGCCGCGCTAAGGCGAGGGCCACATCTTGAAAACCACCCGCCCCCCATCTGTGAAACTCTTGCCAAACTCCAACCTTCAGAGTCATAAGTTGTGAGGAAGTCTCGGGCGAAACGCCTGGCCCGCCCTAAAAACTGGCCTCGGGGTGCGACAGGGAGAACTTATGTATAAGAAAAAGGAATGGAGGGGGAGGAGGAGGAGGAGGAGGAGGAGCGTTTCCGTAATTTGTAGAGCACCGTCTCGTACATGGGCGTGCAGTCGCGAAGCGATGGTAATATTGCTCCCTTCCCTTCCCTTGTTTCGGCAGCGAAGATTCTGTCTCCGTCGAGGAGGAGGAGGAGGAGAAGAGGCGTCCGCTACTCGATGTCGCCATCCTTCTGTCCCTCCTTCGCCTCCTCCTCCTCCTCTTCCTTCTCCCCCTCCTCTTGCCCCTCTGGACAAGGGTGGTCTGTCCACTGTTCTTTTGCAACAGGATTGTTTGCGGTTTGAAAGTGGTGCTTTCGCTAAAGTATGGGTCTCATTTTCGGATTTGCGTGTTGCTCCCGTCGTTCAGGTTGGCGATCTCGCCGCTGCGTGGGCCACTTCTCTGGACCCGATTCCCTGTTCATCGTTGTCGCCCCCTTCATTTCCCCTCCGCCGCCTTCCCCTGGTCATCCTGCTCCGGCCCCGTCTACTCCAGTTTCTGCTCCTGCTATGCGTGCTCGTGCCCCTCCTTCCGCAGTCTTCTCCTTCTCCTCCTGCTCATTCTCCTGCTCGCTCGCCACCTCCTCCTGCCATGTACGCAGTTCCCTTTTTCTCCGATTGCTCACGACAGGATGGTGTCTCTGTTCATGGAGTGCCAGGTCGGCTCTGACGCGCGTCCGCGGATAGGGAATCAAGTCAGCACAATGGGCAGGGATGGGTGGGAGGGAGGGATGGGATGTCAGGTGTGGCGCGAGCGCGCCTGCCTCGCCTCTCTCCCCTCCCTCAAGGGAGGAATAATCCAGGAAGAAACACCCGGACCCCGACATCTGGCGTCTGCTAGACTCGGGGGTGGACAGAACCCCCAACAGTGACACGTCGATTAGTTAATGTTCCGTTTTCGATTCTTGAGAGGGCGCCGTGGCCGTCATTTTCCAGGCTTGCGCCCGCCAGGTTTGGGCCGGAGGTCGTTTTCACTAAACCGCGTTTTGCTAAAGGGAGGTCTGTCCATCCCCGATCGACGGCCCTGGGCGCTTCACCGAACCGCCCTTCCCTGATCGATGCCTTCCTTGGGCGCGTTCACCAGACGGCTTCGCTTGTCGGGGCGCTGGCTCTGCTCGCCATTCTCCCCTCTGCTCGACCTCGAGGAGGGCGCGGAGGAGCTGGCCTGGCCGGAGCCCTGCGGTGGGCGCAGGAAAGCTTCGACTCGGCCGAGAAGTGGGAGCGCAACCTCGCCACGAAGCTCGGGGCCGCCCGCCCGCCTCCTACTCCTCCCACCTCGGGTGGGATCGAGGAGGATATAGGATTAAGCCGGGCCTGTCCCTCTACAGGGGGAATCTTCAAAAGTAGTCAAACAATAGTCTGGGGACAATTTTTTTTGACTATTTTTGGGCATTTGGGGGTTATGTTTTGAGTATTTGTAGTGTTTCGTCCAAAATCCCCCTGTACGGGGACAGGCCCGATTTAAATATAGGAGGGTCGAGGTTCGACGATGACCGAGGAGCGAGGAGGAGCGAGGAGGCCGAGATTTTTAGTCCGGTCTTGGAACTGTTCGGGCCTCCCCAGGGCCCTCGGGGGCCTCTAGGGGCCTCCGGACCCATATCCCGCGCACCTCCTGAGGCCTCCGAGGAGGGAGGGTTGGGCCTCCTGCTTCCTCCTCTTCCCGCTCCTTTTCCTCTTCCTTCTCATCCTGCTCCTCCTCCTGATCCTCCTCGTGCTCCTGTTCCTGCTCCTCCTCGTCCTCCTCTTCCTCCTTCCCTTCTTCATCGTCCTCCTCGTCCTCGTCGCCGCTGTCCTCCCTCTCCTCCTTCGCCACCTCGTTGCACCCTCCTCCTCTTTCCCCCTTCTTCTCCTACCCTCTCCTTTGTCCTTCTTGTGTCATCACGGCTCTGGAGGCCCCCAAATAGGAACCCAAACCCCTGAAGGGGACTTCCGAAACGGCCAGAATAAGAATACGATTATAATAATAAGAGGAAGATGATGCGGAGGAAGAGGACGCGGAGAAAGAGGAGGACGAGCAGAAGGAGGAGGAGGCGGAGGAGGAGGAGGAAGACGATTATGTGGAGGAGGAGGATGAGGAGGAGGAGGAGGAGGAAGAGATGGTGGAGGAAGAGGAGGAGCTGGAGGAGGAGGAGGAAGATGAAGAGGAGGAGGAGAAGGAGGAGGAGGAGGAGGGAAAGTAATAGGAGGAGTAGGATATGCTGATGCTGATACACATCCTGATGATAATGCTGGTGCTACTGTGTTTGATACTTTCGAAGGGGAGAATGGTGTTGATGGTGATTGTTATGGTTGTGGTGATTGTGATGCTGACGCTGATGGTGATGTTGATGATCACGATGCTGACTGATACAGATGATGAGCATGATGATGCGTATACTGATGATGATGATGATGATGATGATGATGATGATGATGATGATGATCATGATGATGAGTACGCTGATGATGACGATGCTGATCATGATGATGCTGCTGATGATTATGATGATGATGGTCATGGTGGTGGTGGTGGTCGTGATGATGATGATGACGATGAGGATGAGGACGTTAATGATGATGGTGATGCTGATGATGGTGATGCTGATGATGACGATGATGATGATGATGATGATGATGATGATGCTGATGCTGATGCTGATGCTGATGATTATGCTGATGATGATGCGGCTGCTGCTGCTGCTGATGATGATGATGATGATGATGACGATGATGATGATGATGATGATGATGATGATGATGATGTGGCCCATGGTATCCTTGTCGACGATTATGCTGACGGCGAGGACGGCGTTGATGATGAATACGGTGATGGTGACGATGCTGAGGACGCGGATGCTGATGATTATGGCATCAATCACGATGATGGTGACGCTTATCATCATGACAGTGATGATGCTTCTGACTCTTTCTCCTCAATCCAGCGGCCGCCTGTGAGGCTGCAGCCGCAGAGGCCACCAAGATGGTTTCAAGAGCCGTCAAGAGCCTCCCAAGACGGCGGCTGCCGAAGACGTCAGACGGCCCCGAGAAAGCTCGCGAAGCCCCCTCGAGGCCCTAGGGCAACACCAAGAGGCCCCCAAGAGGCCTCGAAGATCTCCCAGGATGCTTTCAAGAGTCCAGCAGGACGCTTCAATCGTTCAATGACAGCTGGCAAGCTACAGGTTCCGACGAGCTCGCCTTTTCGCTCTCGCTGGGCCCGCCTCCCAGGCCCCTCAGTGCCCTCCCGACGGCCCAACGGGGCCCCGAGAGGGCCCCGAGAGAACCTATCCACTCCCAACCCAAACAAACCCACCCCCCCCTCCTCCCTCCCTCCTCCTCTTCCTCCTCCTCCTCCTCCTCCTCCTCCTCCTCCAGGAGGCCGCCCCCCCCAACCCACCCAAACGCCTCCAAGAGGTTCCTCGAGGCGCGCAGTGGGCCGGATATTCGTGGAGGCCTTTCCGGAAACATCGGGCCACCGACCACGATGACGATGTTGGTGCTTAGAACGGTGATGACGAGGGTGATGATGGGTTAGACGATGGCTTTGATGATTTGCACGATTAGCGTAGCGGTGTTGATGGTGATTGTGGTGGGAGCGAGAATGAAGATGTTGATGGCGATGATGATAATGATGATGACGATGATGATGCTGATGCTGATGATGATGATGATATTGATGCTGCTGCTGCTGCTGCTGCTGATGATGATGATGATGATGATGATGAGGATGAAAACTGATACTGATAATGATAATGATGACGCTGATGATAACGATGATGCTGCTGCTGATGATGAGGATGATGATGATGATGACACGGTCGATGTTGATGATGCTTATGATACTGCCGCTGCTGCTGATCATCATGCTGCTGATGATGATGCTCATGCTGATGACGCTGATGACGCTGATGAGGATGATGACGATTACGATGTCGATTACGATGATGATGCTGATACTGATGATGCTCATGCTAATTATGCTGACGATGATGCTGCTGATGATGCAGTTGCTGATGTTGATGATGATGATTATGCTGATGAAGTGGATGATGCTGATGATGATGCTGATGATGATTAGGATGAGGATGATGATGATGATGATGATGATGATGATGATGATGATGATGATGATTATGATGATGACGATGATGATGATGATGATCATCATGCTGCTGATGATGATGATGATGATGATGATGATGATGCTGATGATGATGATGATGATGATGATGATGATGATGCTGATGCGGACGCGGATGATAATGCGGACGCGGACGCGGATGCTGCTGCTGTTGATGTTGTTGCTGATGTTGACGGTGATGATGATGATGATGATGATGATGATGATGAGGATTAGGATGAGGAGGAGGAGGAGGAGGACGAGCAGGAGGAGGCGGAGGAGGAGGAGGAGCAGGAGGATGTTACGCGAGTTTGACGTGACGGCATGGCCAGCAGCATTGTGTCAAGGATGTTCCCCATGATGTTGTTGTTGATATCGATATTTGTGGTCATGATGCTTCTGGATGCGACGATGAGTAGGATGATGGGAAGGCGTATGATGATGGGAATGGGGATGAGGGTGAGGATGGGTACGACTATGACACACGGTTGTGCATACTCGCGCTCTCCAGGCTCTTCCAGCGACCCGCCAGCCTGCGCTAGAACCTTGACGCGCGCGAAGGGTCCAGTGTAATTATGTTTAGATATCGGTGGACAACATAAATATACTGATGCATAGAGTGCCTGTGCATGTACATGAATATTCGATGCATACTTGTATACGCAGGTAGAGGAGCAGCAGTATGGAGAGGCGGAGGAGGAAGAGGAGAGGATCGAGTTGTCGGAGGATGCGGTCGAGGAGGAGGAGGACCAGGTCGAGGAGGAAGAGGGTAAGATTGAGGAGGAGGATTCAAGGAGGAGGATGAGGAGCAGGGAACCGAGGAGGAAGCGTAAGACAAGCAATAGTATTTTAGCCAGCGTGGACACCAAGAGTGTGTGTTCTCGCAATCTGTATTGTGCACTCTGTTGTACAATAGATGTGGTGCTCTGTATGCCGTGCGATAGATGTAGTGCCACCAATGTGGTGCAACTTATGTTGGACAAAACATGTTATGCAATATACGTAGTGCAACCTATGTTGTGTAATCTATGTCCTGCAATCTATGTTGCGAGCGATCAAGAAGCGTGCCGCAGGCGCGAAGCAACGTTGTGCAATCCATGTGCTGCAATGCAGGTTTCGCAATATATGTGGTGCATGGGACACGATACAATATATACATATATATATGTATATATATATGTGGTGCAACCTTCTGTAGTGCAATCTCTGTTGCACAATCTATATACATACATGTATATATATATATATATGTAGTTGTGCTGTTCATGTTGCGTAATGCATTTAGGGCGGCGACGAGGCGGCGACCGGGCGGCGACGTCGACATAGCCGTCAGACCGCCTACACGGCCCAGACGACGGGCAGCGACGGGGCGGCGACGGGGTGGCGACGTCGATGACAAAGCCGCCAGACCGCCCACACGGCCCGGAGGACGGGCAGCGACGAGGCGGCGACGGGCGGCGACGTCGACGACATAGCCGCCAGTCCGCCCACACGGCCTAGTTCCTCTGAGGACAAGCAAGAGCCTCTGAGTGTAAGCACCGTTTGGGGAAAAGGTGATCAGATGATGAACGGACGGTAGAAGGATGAACAGCACGTCGAGGAGGAGGAGGAGGAGGAGGAGGTTCTGGAACACGACGGCGAGCGTGCCGGCGAGAAGGCCGTGAGCAGCTTCGTCCTGCGTCTGGTGCACGGCGACGGCGCCCCCTGCTTGCTGCGGGACGGCGGCAGCATCACAATCACCACCGGGCAGAGCGCCAGGACCGTCAACCGGATGTGGCCGGGGCTGGCGGTCAACAACGCCGGGCTGCCGGGGGCGGGCGCGAAGGGGAGGGAGTGCTCAGTCAGAGGACAGGGGATCGAGGCACCGGTGGTTGGCCTTCGTTGACCGGTTTTGAGCTGAGGTTGTCTCAAATCGCCCTTCTCCGATGGCAGGAAGGGGGGAGGGGGAGGGGTGGGGATGGAGGAGGAGGGCGAGGAGGCGGAGGAGGAGGGAGGAGGATGATGGTGAGTACGTAGGAGGAGTAGGAGTAGGAGGAGTAGGGGTGGCATGTGGAGGAGGTCGAGGAGAACGATGACGGGGCGGATGACGACGAGGGCGGCGGCAACAACGACGATGAGGCTCGAGGCTTTCCTGAAACGCCGTCCTATCCTATCGCGCGGGTATTCGCCTGCGTGAATATTCGTCGCCGACGTCGTCGTCGTCGTCGCGAGGAGGTGTAGGGGAGTCAGGCCTCTAGAATGAGAAACTATGGAGCCAGAGTTTTTTCAGTAAACTTGTGGGCCCAGCATGGGTCACGCGATCGCAAACATGGATTCAGGGGGCGTGGATTAGCGACGGGTCCCGTTTCCACGGGAAATCGCGGGTTTCAGC